GTTAGAATTTTATGAGTGAGGGTTAGGGTTTGGGCTGTCTCGAATGTGATGTTCTATTGAATTTCAAGGTCCCTGTAGCGAAGAGGTGAATTTGGCACGGTCTAAAAATTGAATTTTTAGAATCTACGGTACATAAGTTTTCTATCGATATCTTACTTGCGTATCAAAAGACAGTTTATGAGGAAACAAAGCAGGTTATTCCAGGTCCATAATCGTAAAACACGTGAAAGTTAATATTATGCGGTTTCCAACCTGATGTTCTATCGAATTTCGAGGCTCTTGTAGCAGAGGCTTGAATTTAGGCTAGCCTGAAGGTTGTATTTCTGGAATCTACGATGCATAAGCTTTCTGTCGATGCCTCATTCGTGCATCACTAGGCCGGATCTGGAGGAAAAAAGCACTTTCTTTCCAGCTGTGTAATCGAATGGTGGTGTCTACGTCGCGGTCCGACTCTTCGTTACCGAGATACGGACGGTAACTTAAAAAGGGCGTGGTCAAATTTTTTGATGACGTCATTTTCTAAATCAGAATTTTACGCTTATTCGAATGGTTGTGTCTGCGTCGCGGTCCGAATTTTCGTTGCCGAGATACGGACGGTAACTGAAAAAGGGCGTGGTCAAAATTTTTGATGATGTCATTTTCGAAATCAGAATTTTACGCGGATTCGAATGGTTGTGCCTGCGTCGCGGTCCGACTTTTCGTTGCGGAGATATGGACGGTAACTTAAAAAGGGCGTGGTCAAAATTTTTGATGACGTCATTGTCTAAATCAGAATTTTACGGTGATTCGAATGGTGGTGTCTACGTCGCGGTCCGACTTTTCGTTGCCGAGATACGGACGGTAACTTAAAAAGTGCGTGGTCAAAATTTTTGATGACGTCATTTTCTAAATCAGAATTTTACGCGAATTCGAATGGCTGTGTCTGCGTCGCGGTCCGATTTTTCGTTGCCGAGATACGGACGGTAACTTAAAAAGTGCGTGGTCAAAATTTTTGATGACGTCATTTTCTAAATCAGAATTTTACGCGAATTCGAATGGCTGTGTCTGCGTCGCGGTCCGATTTTTCGTTGCCGAGATACGGACGGTAACTTAAAAAGTGCGTGGTGAAAATTTTTGATGACGTCATTTTCTAAATCAGAATTTTACGCGGATTCGAATGGTTGTGTCTGCGTCGCGGTCCGACTTTTCGTTGCCGAGATATGGACGGTAACTTAAAAAGGGCGTGGTCAAAATTTTTGATGACGTCATTTTCTAAATCAGAATTTTACGCGGATTCGAAAGGTGGTGTCTGCGTCGCGGTCCGACTTTTCGTTGCCGAAATACGGACGGTAACTTAAAAAGGGCGTGGTCAAAATTTTTGATGACGTCATTTTCTAAATCAGAATTCTAGGGTGATTCGAATGGTGGTGTAACAGCGTAACTCCTTACGCTTGCATATTTTGTTAAGAAGATATTAACGAAAGTTGTTTGTCTTGATGAGGGCTACAACTTTGCTTAATATCTTTTCAACAAATTATGCGTATTTAAGGAGATACATCTGCGCATGCGCAGTAGCGTAACTTCTTACGCTTGCATATTTTGTTAAGAAGATATTATTAAAAGTTGTTCGTCTTGATGAGGGCTACAACTTTGCTTAATATCTTTTTAACAAATTATGCCTATTTAAGGAGATTCGCCTACGCATGCGCAGTAGCGTAACTCTTTACGCTTGCATATTTTGTTAAGAAGATATTAATAAAAGTTGTTCGCCTTGATGAGGGCTACAACTTTGTTTAATATCTTTTCAACAAATTATGCGTATTTAAGGAGATACGTCTGCGCATGCGCAGTAGCGTAACTTTTTACGCTTGCATATTTAATTAAGAGGATATTAATAAAAGTTGTTCGTCGTGATGATGGCTACAGCTTTGCTTAATGTCTTTTTAACAAATTATGCGTATTTAAGGAGATACGTCTACGCATGCGCAGTAGCGTAACTCTTTACGCTTGCATATTTTGTTAAGAAGATATTAATAAAAGTTGTTCGTCTTGATGAGGGCTACAACTTTTCTTAATAATTTTTTAACAAATTATGCGTATTTAAAGAGATACGTCTGCGCATGCGCAGAACCGTAACTTGTTACGCTTGCATATTTTGTTAAGAGGATATTAATAAAAGTTGTTCGCCTTGATGAGAGCTACACCTTTGCTTAATGTCTTTTAAACAAATTATGCGTATTTAAGGAAATACGTCTGCGCATGCGCAGTAGCGTAACTCCTTACACTTGCATATTTTGTTAAGAAGATATTAATAAGATACTCATATTTTGTAGCGGACTCTCAATATTTTTTTCCCTTTATATAATCTGGCTATTTTTTACTCTTTTTATAGTTCTATGTGAGAAATCGTTTTCCAAGTAGTATAAAATATTGCTATGTTGAACCTGGCCCGAAGAGATCCAGCTAATCATTCTGTGTTGATTTCATATTGAATTCTTTCACCGCGTTCACCGCCATTCACCGTATAATAGTCTCCTACACCGCATGAGATAAGCAGGTCACAACAATTTACTACTGTCTTTAATTTCACAAAAATTGCAGATCGTCCCTGGTGGCTTAGTGGTAGTTCGTCTGGCCTGTCTCTATTAACGTTTGGGTTCAAATCCCGCTGAACTCATATTTTGTAGCGGACTCTCAATATTTTTTTTCCTTTATTTATTGTTGCTATTTTTTATACTTTTTATACTTCTATGTGAGAAATCGCTTTGCAAGTAGCATAAAATATTGCTATTTTGAACTTGGCCCAAAGAGATCCAGCTAATAATTCTGTGTTGATTTCATATTGAATTCTTTCACGGCGTTCACCACCATTCACCGCA